GGCACTGGTTCCGAACTCGGCTGGCGCCTTCTGCAACCTCGGCGGGATTGTGTCGATGGGCGCGTTGCTCAATGGGCCCATCGCACCACTAACGAGACCAATGCAAGTCGTCTGCCAGCTCGGCAAGTTGGTGCCCTCGTACTGAGGTTGCCAGTTCTTGAGCGCCTCCTTGAAGTAGCTGTACGCGGTGAAGTTGACGGCCTGGTTGGAGCCCTGGCGCAGGGCTGTCAGGCTCACGCCGCGGTAAAGGGCACCAACACCTTCCTCCTTGACCACTGTGAATAACGCATGCGCAGCATTGCGGTACTTGGGGACGTCGAGCGGATCGGCCATGCTATGGTGTTGCGCCTGCAGGCGGATCTTGATCACCTCCATAGGCGTGACAACAGCGACGGCTTCTGTAACACCTGCAGCGAGGCCGGCTGCGCATCGAATATTCTAGTCAGTTACTTGGTTCGTTACAGAGAGTGTGGAGGATCCCACTTGCCAAGGAACGTCCCCTTCGCACTGACGACCCCCGTGCTCTTATCAGCCAGCAGCTGCTTGTAGGTTTCGAAACTCGTGAAACGAATGGCCATCTTCGGCACGATGCCAGTCATGACAGCTCCCAAGCCCTTGTACAGCGCTAGGGGTGTCTCACGCTTCACAATCTCGACACCAGTACGAACGAACCCGCGTTTTGGTGCGCCAGGTTGCCGCGCTCGCCTCGACAGCTGCATGCGAACCTTGATCGTGTCTTGTTTTTGTCAATTGGTCGCTCTAGCAAAAGTCAACCTGGCCATGCTTACCCAGTGGATGACACGCGAGCGCCTCCATCATACCGGCAGCGCCTCCGGCTGTAGAGACGAGTCAGTACACAAGCTTCGGAGATGGTGCAATGGCCGAAATGTCGTACCAATCAAGTTGGTTGCCGCCGAGGGCGGCGTCTTGCCGTCTGCTTTCACCTTGGTAGCCATGTGGTGTGGTGCCAATGTAGCTTCTACCTGGTGACGGGGCGGTGGTGTTCGTGGTGCTGGGGGCCTGACACAGAACTAGCGACGAGATGGAGTGGAATGGGCGCGAAGACAAGGTCAAGCTAATGATGCCAATGGAGAGAGACGCGAGGATGACAAGGACAGAAGGAACAAGAAGAGAAGATCAGGCGAGTGCAGAGGGGACCAGAAATATGACGAAACGGCTTGTCAGATGGGAAACATCCTCGGCGCCGAAAAGGCAGTGCCACGGTTAATAATGGCACCAGCCATGAGACGGCGGCGCGACTGGCGACCGACTGACCAGATGACTCAACGTCTCGCGCGAAACCGCCTTCAATACTTTCGACCAGCTGCTTCGCCCTTTCATCCGCGGCACCGGGATGGGATGGAAAGGGAAGTACCCAGCTAGACTCCTAGCTCTCCCGAAGTGAGTCTGGGGCTGGCCCATGGCAAGCGGAGACGGCGACGGAAGGGAGGCAGGCAGGGGATAAGATACAATAAGCCGCCTACTCCTCTAGAGCCGATTGAAACACGTGTGGGAAGGGGGCACCTCGATGGCTTGCGACAGCTCGGCGTAACGGAACCAAGCCGCTTGCGTCCACATCAGGCTCTGGCATCTGAGAGAACACGCCAATTGACCAACTGAGAAAGGTGCACTGCTCCCAATGTTATTTTTTGGTGGCCGCTGTATCACTGGGCGAATGGATGACATTGATCGGCGAGATCATGGCGCGTCGGCTGGCAGACGATCTGGGCTGCACTTCTTCTCTCGGCCTGTGATATCCAAGACGTGACCCAGTGACGTCGCCCTAAGCGGCGCCCAGCTCCTGATGCACAACGACTTTACCGACCGTGAGCCGAGCTTGTGATTGCGGGTTTGCGGGGAAGTCAATTTGTGGGTCCCGGCCCATTCCGGCAGTGGCAGGGCACGTTCATGTGCCCCCTTGGACGAACCCCGCTACATACCGGTGGTGGTAGGTCCTAGACGCGATGG